GTGGCTAGAGGTTCATGTGCCGCCAAAAACCTTCTTTATGACAGTATTGAAAGTATTCAACGTAATTGAACAAAAGTTGTAGTAGATTTTGGTTGTCAAAGGCGTTGGTCTGCCGTTATTTGCACTCAAAATGTAGCTCAAATTGTTCTGTTTCCAAAAGCGCCTACTCAAATTAAACAAGGTACTACTCCTATCGCTGAGTTTGTAGAACCGTCAGTTTGTACGAGACAACAAAATTTTTCTCTTTATAATCAATAGGGTTTAGTCATAATTGCAGTACAATCGCATTTCACCATTTATTAATTCTTTGTGTGTTATCTACTACTTGCTGTTAGCAATATTCAATGTTCCTGAAAAGGGGTGTGCGGTAGACTTACCTCCATGTGGTACACCCTGGGCAACGTATACTCATACGGCAAAAAGTCTATTAACCGGCAGTTGACTTCTCACTTCAAACTACCACGACCCCCCTGGTTGTCATATTCGACCCCTTCCACAGTACTCACCTTGCCTTTTTCTCCACCTTTGTGTCTGTCTGCCTCTTTTACATCCGTGAATGGCTCTTCTGTTCCCCACCCCTCGACTTTCTGCTACTTTGATTAACCTTCCCTCTGTGAAGCCCGAAGTCAACTAAATGACAAATGATAGCTATCAAAACGTCTGCCGTTTGAAATAAATAAATGTTCCTGAAAATTTAATTTGCCTTGATAGAGTTGAAGTCTTGTAAATCTTAATTTATTTTGGATTTATTTATCGGGAAACGTAAGAGATTCTAATTTTTCATCAACTCAGAATAAAATTTTAATTGAATTTTAGAACGCCTCGCAACGGATGATGATAGATATGTACAGAAAAAGATAAATATAAGATAAAATTCAACGAGAAAGGAGGCCTTCAGGCGGTTTAATTACACCAGCACAAAAAACGTCAAATCCTCATGATGACAAGCATTTATTGAATTCTCAAATACTAAAAGTGGGAAAAGTTTGATTTTCCCACCCAATGAGCAGAATCAACAGTTCAAATCTACCGCCACAAAGGCACTTGTTGAGTGAAATAAAAACAAAACTTATCCCTCATATCATCAAGAAGAGAAATTGCTTGTTTATATGCAAACAGCGTCTTCTGCTCTACGTATATGCGTGGACTGACAGCCTTTAAAGTATCCGACTTCTATTTTTTTGCATAGGGCTGCTTTTAGAAAGTGTGAAATCGTACCAACCAGAGTTTCAACATAATAAAAGACGTTAGATACTCATTGAAACAATCCAACGTTTTCTGTGTGCGCATGAAGTAACGATTACATTTTTGGTATAAGTCAAAATTCAGTAGGCAACTGTGAAGTACACAGCCTTGTCATAACTAAACAAAAGAATCTCATGAGCACTCAGACCGACTGTCGCATAAGGAGCAAGTGTGGTAGTGAACGCAGAAATCCCCCCCCCCCAGCCAACTGCCAATCAATGGTCCACGCTCGGTTTAACAAAGCACTTATTGCTTTATAATGACTGCGTTCCGTGCCAGTGACAGCCTAAATAAACGTATTCCATGTCCTACGTCTGTTTCCACTATACCTCTGAGCATTATTCAAGGCTTATCAGTGTAGCAATCCTCCACCTAATCCTGGAAGCGCCTTCCACTGTCCATTTTGCTTAAATGCTAACTCGGATTTAAAGGAGAACGTAGAAAAATGATAGAATAAAATGTCTAACCCGTTTGGCCATGACTAGTGTTCTCAAACCGGAGAGGGAATAGTCATGTAGACGCTCCTCTGTATTGATTCTGAAAGCTTGACCTAAAACAAAAATAGACAGGAAATAGAATCTCACCGTATTAGATTGTCAGATTGCCTAGATATAGTGTGCTTCTCGAGGTCATCCATTATTTTAAAGAGAAAAATACTTGCTTGAACAAGAGACTAGACAGTTGTTGAAGGGAATTGGATCAATTTTGTGAGCATAGCAACGGTTGTCAAGGTGGCCAAGTGCTATCTCCTGCTCTTTTTGTTTTGAGCGTGGTTCTACAGTTAACTCGCACGCAACTACGCCACCACGTCAACTTTTTGTAATACATGCAAAACCGACGTTAATAACAGTGGTAGACTATTGTTATTACCATTCCAGATAGCGAAGCCATATTACAAATCACTTCGAAAGGTCAAAGTGTCATCTCTCAGTGACGCCAGTAAGACCACCCGTGTTGTTGTCAAGGTAAAGATATGAACAAGAGTGAGCACTTGAAATATTGAAATAACGGCTGAACCTTAGATTATTAAAGTGAACTAATATGAATACCACTATTCTGTATATTGTTCCACCCCTCCCCCACACCAAAACAAGGAGAACTTGCGCTTTCCTTCGCCTGTTTCCATCGTAAAATGTATACATCCCCATTCTTAGGCACTCCAAGCTAACGATTTGAGCATATACCCTCCTCCTAACAGCAGAATGTTAAACTCGAAACCATTTGCGGAAGTATGATTAAAAGGAGCTCCGATAGTTAACCTCAATCCAACCCCCCCACCCCCCATTTCGGAAAAAAATGCAAGAAAATTTCGAGAAATATTCTCAAACTCGAGGCAAATGAACTGTGCGTCCATAATAAAAAAAAATTGTCAGAAGCACACCTCCTCCTTGAACAAAAGAAAGAAGATGGAGTATTTTGAATTTTCATGTTTTTAAGAGCCTAAAAGAAGGTAATCTTTAAAATGGAGACAAATGCTTTTTATCTTCTTTTCTGCCAAATAGACTATGACAGAATTTTAATTGGAGAAATAAAATGTACTTCCAAAAGGTCAGGGTAAATATTTGAGCTTCATTTCAGCCCTTGCAAAAAGAGCTAGTTCGGTCGATTCTGAGGACACGATGGAAGTTAAAACAGTCATAGTAACAACTTTTCTCACAGTCATCTCCTCATCAATCGCCTCAGTGAAGCGAGTTAACTTCGAACACGAACAAGATGGCAATAAACTTCTGCCTAGAAAATATCTGTCAAACAAAAGATCACTTTAATGCCCATCTATTGATCCATGGCAAATTCCAGGAAAGGTGGAAAGAAATGAGAAGGTGTATCCACAATTATGAGACTGAGGTTCACCACAATGAATAATGGTCTCCGTAGATCATCTATGAAACCGAAACATCAACTTAAAACTTATGCAATCGAATCTAAACAATGACTATTGTAGTGAACAAATTGAGTGAAATAAAGTTTTTCCTCAGTGCTTTTTCCACATAGGACCTCTAACTCCACGGTACCTGTTCAGATCAAAGAAACGACCTTGGATGTCACAACGAACCATATAGATATAATCCTGGTCCTCCACCAAAAAACTCTTCTCTCTGTCTTCATTCTAGCATAGTAGTAAAGATTGGCAGAAGATAGAGGATATATTCTGAAGCATATATCAGCACATTGAAAATCAAGAAATCTTAGCTGTTATCCAACCTCCTAAACAACCCTTTAATGCCAACACTTACCCTTCAGTGGATCGAGAAGGGGGAGGATAACGGAGTCGGCACCTTTGCAGTAGAGAACAATTTCATTGGTGTTTGGATGTCGAAAAATGATCGACATTCGTTTACGTTGCGTCACAAATGGTAACACATTAAGTACCTCAACGCGTATTAGACCATCTCCTAAATATAGAAAAGACAAAAAGCCAATGAAGAACTCTAGAATAACACTTCCGAACGTACTCGGTAAAAGAAAGAAAATGGTCGTAAAATGGTAACAGCTAAAATTGTATAATATTAATTGGACAATTAAAACGTTGCTTTAAAGCATAAACAATGAGAATAAAACGAGTACTTCCCAACTTAGATCCAAGATGAAGTAAAGGAACGTCGATCAGTAGATAGAGGAAATATGAAGAGTTTCTCTTCTTCAGAAAGGTAGATAAGCATGAAGGACTGTGAATAAAGGTCACTATCGCTTACCCACTTGAAAAATACATCAAAGTGCCTTACTGATTGACCTCGTTGTAAGCTTTTTTCTGCTCCGCTCTGTCACTTAATAAAAAATTTGCCATGGGCCCTATGCTTCTTCTATCACTATCTCCGCTTCCATCCAACTTCTTAGAAGTGGAAGCACACGGACTCATTCTCAGTAAAGTAAGAGTAATAAATTGCTATTCCCCAAATGCACAAGGAGATAAGGAATATACCGGGAAGCCAAATGATGACAAAATCGAGACCGCGTTGAAGCAATTTGCAGCCATATTTGCAGGCTGTCTTCACCAGAGTCACTTCATCCGGACTCTCCGATTCATAGCCATTGAGGAGGGTGTTCTCCGAGAGGGGACATACGTGATGTATAGGTCCAACTAGCGAATCGTTGCTACTTCGCCATCGTGTGGACGAACCGGCTTGGCTTAAAGCCTCCCAATTGTCCACATCAGGTGTGGTGGGTGTTAAATCAGCAGATGGGACAGTCATCTTTGGACACGACTTTCCAATAGTCAATTTCGACTTTTGCACGTACAAGGGCTGTCGGATTTGTGGCTGTGGCGGTTCGTCTGCTCTTTCTTCATCTGACAAGGAGGGTGAGCCATTTCCGGTTGGTTCTAAAAAAGGGTTTAAAATAAGTCATAATTTTGACAATTTCAGGACTACGATCATACACGGTCGTGCTGTGCGAACTTGAACCTCCATAAGAGGGGGTTTAAGGCACAGAAATTTTTAGAATTGAACAAGTCATAAGGCTCTAGCCTATTTTAAGATAACCGAAGGAAAAGCTTATCGTGAACTCTTTGAAGCCGAACCACCAGAGCGTTGAGGGTACCTAACAACAATAAAGTTAAGATTCCCATAAAGGCAACGAGGAGGAGATCCCAAATGCACTCTCACAGTGCTCTGATGTACAAAGAACGTCCTCATATGGGCTCTCTTTGAAAGTCCTCGACCAAGATCCAACGATGACAACATTTGACTATTTCGCAGTCTTTCCGATTCTCTAACCCAAACGCTTCCATTAAGTTATTTGGCGCTGTAGAAAACTAAAAAACATTAAACTAATCTATTTAAAAAATGAAAGACTCACGGTGACTTCGATCTAGTTCAAATTAAATGGGAAGACAAAGGCACAGTTAAAGCACATAACCAAGATGGGAAAGAATTTTTCAAGAAGAGCCAAAAATCGCGAAAGAAATTCTTGAATCAAGTGCTTAAGAAGGCAAGTCGTGCAAACGATTGCATGAACAAAAGATCCCAGACAAGAAAGCTACACCATTTTTTGCCACACATAGGAATTCAACTATCGACTTCGCACACTTTCACGTGACAAAGGTAATCCCAATCACCAGTTTGCCTAAGCATATTCCACCACATTCGAAAAAGGAAGTTCAATTAATTATCCAATCTTCTCTGACCAATCGTATTCTGTACACGCACAATAGACTAATAAGGACATTGTCTTCTCCTCCTGCGGTCTGAGCGGGTGTGAAACATTTATTTATTTATTTAGATCAACTGGCAGGTGTTTTGATGGTTATCATAGGCCCTTTAGTTGACTTCAGGCTTCACAGAGGGGAAGGAACATCAAAGTGAAAAA